AGCACACATATGTCATAACGGCTGAATTGCGAAGATGTATCGTCAAATATTGGTAACCGAAGGGCAACGCGACATGCAGCGCATTCTTTGGCGCTTGGCTTTTCAAAATCAAACAAATTTTCCTAAAGCAAGTCAAGTTATATTAACCGATTAACATGGATGATCTTATCACGGGGTCAAAGAAGATGAAGATGAAGTAATTAAGCTTAAGCAAGAAATCGATCAAATCCTTAAAAGTGGCTGTTTTCAACTAAGGAAATGGGTTGCTAACAGTACGCACATTTTAAGTAGTACCGGAAACACTGAAAACAATTTACCCCAGTTTAATATATCTGACGATTCATGCATTAAAACTCTAGGTCTTTTATGGAACGCGCAAAGTGATACTTTTCAAATTACAGCAAGCGAAAAACAAGATAATCGTGTAGTAATAAAAATAACAATTTTGGGTAGTTTAGCACAAATTTTTGATCCTCTAGGATTAATAGGCCCTATAACGGCCCTATATACGCGGAAAAATAATCATGCAAAAATTGTGGCAATTACAAGTAAATTGTGACGAGTCAATTCCCATAGACATATATACAGAGTCGTGCGAATTTATCAATCAAGGCTCATTATTAAATAAGTTAATAATTCCACGACACATAGCGCTACATAATGCGATAAGTTTTCAAATCCATAGCTTTTGTGATGCTTCAGAAGCAGCGTTTGGGGTTTGTGTGTATCTTAGAACAATTGAGCGAGAAGGCAGAGTAGCTACACGCTTAATATGCGCGAAGTCGCGAGTAGCTCCGCTGAAGAGTATAACATTGCCCAGGCTAGAGCTTTGTGGAGCGGTACTCTCAGCACAACTCACAAATAAAGTAGTTAAAACATTAAATCTGAAAGTATCACGTATATATTACTGGTGCGATTCAACTATTGTGCTAGCATGGTTATCTGCTCCAGCTATTCAGTGGCAAACATTTGTACGAAACAGAGTGGCAGAAATCCAACGGATCACAAATATATCTGATTGGAATCACGTAAGATCAAACGAAAACCCGGCTGACATAATTTCTCGGGGTTGCACGCTTCAAAAATTATTAGAGTCGTCATTATGGTGGTCAGAGCCAGCATGACTCTCAGATGATCCACAGCAATGGAGCATTCATAAAGATATACGTACAGAAAATATTCCCGAACTAAAACCTTCTAAAATAATAACACTTGCAGCTACCACGAAAAATGATATTTTCAGAAAATTTTCATCTTTAGACAACTTAAAGCGGGTAACCGCTTATTGTCTTAGATTTAAAAATAACACTTTAAACAAATCAAATAAATTAACCGGTCCTTTAAGTACAAATGAGTTGACTCAAGCGTTAAACGTTTTAATACCTATTTCACAACTATCCGAATTCAATGAAGACATTGCTAACTTAAGAAAAAACAATTGTGTATCGAAAAACAGTAAGCTAACATCATTAAATCCGTTTATAGACAGGCAAGGTATTATGCGGTAGGCGGTAGAATTTCCAAATCAAAGGTCCTATTCAATCAAAAATATCCAATTATTTTGTCGAATAAGCACTTATTAACAAATTTAATAATCATGAATGAGCATATTAGAAATTTTCATGCAGGATTGCAACTAACTTTAACAATGTACCGTCTGAAATACTGGCCAATAAGATGTCGTAGCTCAGTGCGAAAAATCTTACACGGTTGTATGTTTCAAGGCAAAACCGCTTAGCATGAAGCCACTAATGGCAGACTTACCTGAATACCGCGTACAACCTGCTAGACCATTTTACAATTGCGGCGTAGATTACGCTGGCCCATTTTTAATAAAGGATGGTAAGACGCGTAACCGTAAAATTGTTAAATGTTTTTTATGCTTGTTTGTTTGTTTTACCACAAAAGCCGTGCATCTGGAATTGGCAGGTGATCTTAGCACGAATTCATTTTTGAACGCGTTAAAGAGATTTATCTCAAGGCGTGGTATTTGCAAAAATTTATACTCGGAAAATGCTTCCAACTTTCGCGGTGCTAATACTGAATTAAAAAGGATAGAANGTTAAAGAGATTTATCTCAAGGCGTGGTATTTGCAAAAATTTATACTCGGAAAATGCTTCCAACTTTCGCGGTGCTAATACTGAATTAAAAAGGATAGAAGCCTTGTTATCGCGAGATCTCGGTTCTGAAATTAACAATTTTTTAACTTCAAACAATATTTGCTGGCACTTCATACCTGCTAGATCTCCGCACATGGGAGGTATCTGGGAGGCGGCAGTTAAATCTGCTAAATTTCATGTCAAGCGAATCATAGGAAATTTAACAAGACTAATAATATCCAGGTAGGCGACATGGTTCTTCTGAAAGACGAAGGTTTTCCACCAATGAATTGGCCTTTAGGTAGAATTACCAAGCTGCATCCTGGCACAGATGGTGTAGTTCGCGTAGTGCAAGTGAAAACCGTAAATGGTGAGGTGAAACGTGCTACGACAAAAATAAAAAATCTGTAAGCTTCCGATTGAGACAGACCCTATTTAGATTTGGATATTGTTTAAATCAAATTCACATTTCATGTTCAGGATTCATTATTTGTCAAGTATCTAGTATCTATGTATTTTATGCTTTAATGTATATCATAATATGTACTTATTGAAGGCTTAGCCGTTCAAGGGCGGCGGTCTATGTTGTAGCTTATTCTAGGTACGCCTCTGGCCTCTAGATTAATACATAGATTTGAAACGGTGCAAACAAAATGTTATATTTAATCCAACTTTAGACTTAATCCTGGATTAAACACTACGGTGCAAACGGGCATAAATATCATTAAATGTCATGCCTCTGTGACCGCACGCTAGTTTCACCGTTTTTAAAAAAGATGTGGGTTGGCTAGGAAGTGTCAAAGTGACACCACGTTTTGTTATGTAATATAATTGCATTAAAATAAATATACAGTCCACTGTTAACCACAATTAGTTTGTTATTCAATCAGTCATATATTATTGCACACGGCAGGCAGCACAGATTTCTAATGATCTTCATCCCGACAAAAACACTTTGCATCGGTACGTCCTGGATTTATTGGAACCAAATTTGAGTCCAAGGAAAGTACTTGCAAGTACTTCAGGAATTTCTGTACCTAGTAGCCGCCGAATCTTAAAAATTCATAAGCATCACCCATACATAATTAATTTGGTACAAAAAATTAATGAAGACGATCCTGATTGTCGCTTGCATCATGCTCGAAGGTATCCAAATTTTTTGTACGCAATCTGTTTTTTCGATGAACGTACGTTCCAACTGGATGGTCGAGTCAACCGCTACAATTGCCGTTACTGGAGTGATGAAAATCCACGCATATTTCATGAAACTCATACGCAGCATCCGAGGAAATTGAATGTTTGGGTGGGCATACTAGGAGACCACCTCATAGGGCTTTTCTTCCTACCGGGAAATCTGGATGGGAACATGTGTCTGAATCTACTGGAAACGAATATTTATCCGATGATTGTGGAAGTATTGGAAAATGACAGCGCACTGCCAGAAGAGAATGTATGGTTTCAACAGATATGGTGCTCCAACACATACTTAATCAGAACTTTCCAAACCACTGGATAGGATGCAGAGGTTCAATTGAGTGGCCTCCCAGATCGCCAGATGTAATACCCTTACAATTAGACGTTTTTCTATGGGGACACTTAAAGCCGAAAATTTATGCAATACGACCGAATACACTTGAGGAGCTTCATCGGTGAATTGTTGAAGAATGTCATCAGATAACGCCGGAAGTGGAGCAAAGATTTTATTATTGTATGGAAGCGGAGGGAAACCAATTTGAACATTGAATAAAATATAATTCTTTTATTGATTGATAGGTATTTTATCTTATTCTTTAAGTGATACCAAAATAAGCAGCGAATTGGGTTTTGGGCTCATCCAATTTTGAGGTTATGTATTTTTACGGTTGCGAGTTATCATTTTACGGCTTGTCGAGCTCGTTCGGGATCATAAGGATGTGGAGTTATAAGGTTTTAACAGGTTGTAGGGTTGATTTTGTTGAATTCTACCATTTTTCAGCTATTTTTTGAGGTTAGAAAAAAACTCTGACGTGATGGGACCAAATGAGTTGCAGATTCGGTTTCAGCGACACAAAAAACATATAATACGATAGGTTTGGCCGAGGAGACCTTTCGTCGATTTTTTTTGTGGTCCTGTGTAATCTATCTTGAAATAATTAAAACATTTCTATTAATTGGAAACTTCAGTTCAACGATCAGATTTTTAAAAACGTGTTATTCCCATTTCTTAAATATTACAGGTTTGATTTTTACGTTTCGTTTTAACTAAATTTTAAATTTAAATTTTATTTATTGTTCACTGCAGGATGTGATATAAATAGCTATTAGTAACTTTTAGTATAGCTAATAAATTTTTTACTATTATAGAGATCTTGTCTTGAGATAAGAGTCTTATGGAATCACAAAATGCAAACCCCATCTTCTATTAAAATAATTCTTCTCTCCCGTAAAAATCATTTACGATAAGTGAAATTGAATTCCACTTAAACTGGAACATGAACAAACAATGGACTGTCACCGAAAAGTTTTTAATGTGTCATTGCAATCATTTTGAATGTTCTTCTCTATCAATTGTTTTTTTAATTAAAGTTCAATTGTATTCCTAATGCCCTGTTCTATTTTCCATGAGAATTGAATTTGTCTTAAAAATTTTAGATACACACAGGTTTCAACAAAAATTATCTCTCGAGACCTTTTCATATATGTCATCATTTCATGGGAAATTCAATTATGAATATGATAAAACAAAATTAAATGAGTCAACACTGTGTATCCTTAAAACAAAATTATTTATAGGGTAGGTTTATTAGAGAAAGCTACTTTAATTTTGAATAAAGAATATGTTTTCTAAGTCTCTTGAAATGTTTTTGTGTCTAGATAAAAAATGTTACTTTGATGCGTGCATCAACTGCCCAAGTAATTACCTTTTGTTTGCGGTGTTTGCAACAAATATCCTATGGAGGCTGATCCAGCGCTCTGTCCAAATATAGTTATATTATCGGGATCTCCTCCAAATCGTTCTATATTTTCCTTAATCCACCTCAACCCGAGGATTTGGTCTTTAAGTCCGTTGTTTCCTGGCACGACTAAGTCTCCTGTGGAGAGAAAACCGAAAATTCCCACTCTATAATGTAAGCCAACTATGATTACGTCTTGGTCCAACAATAGGTCGGGGCTGTGTCTGGTAAAGTTGGGATATCCTGCGAAGAATGCGCCTCCGTATATCCATACCATAACTGGTAGTTTCTTCTGTTCCTTAGGCAACTAGAAGGAATACGTACTTTTCTGAATGACTAACAAATATCAATATCACTTTGTAAATTCATCCAACCTTCGTTCTTAACAAGGCACCTTTTTCAAGTAAGAGAACTAGTCATTGTGACTATAGTATATTATGTTACTAGGAGTAGAAGACGATCATTATGTGTTGAGCCCAAAAGTTTGCTCGCCGAGGCGTTAGCCGAGGCTGAGCAAATTGGGCAAAACACATAATGAGCCTTCCACTCCGAGTGACATATACTATTTTTTCTTCAAGCGTGAATATAAAAAATTACTAATTTTGAAAATTTATAGCGGATAACGCGATGTTCAATCTCAGCACAAAATAAAATCAGTAGGTAGGTAATACTATTTATTTTATACATTTTATACATTTTATTGATTAATTAAACATGACAGTTTTAACCACTTTATTCATGAATAAAAAAACAAATGTAACAATTATTTTTCTTTAATTTGAATTAAACGAATAAACATCTAAATTACCTACATGTCTATCATCAAACTTTATTTATTAACATGAATATTAAATGTGCAATTTTGTATGGTACAGTTGTTGATATTTAAAGCGCTGCTGGCTGTCTTTTTTTCAAAGTTTACAGTTCTGTCGTTGAATACGTTACTTGTAATAAGGTTCTCAGTTTCAGTGTTAACAATTGTACCATTATTAACAGAAAAGTCTTCGATTAAATTATTTTCAGGATCAATATTTACAGTTTCGCTTGATGTACTTGGTTCATTATACTCTAATGGGTTTAATATTTTCATCGCTATCTGTTTCTTATTGTTTACAGAATCTTCAATGTATCCTTCAGCGACGCTGGTAGATTTCCATCCACCATGTCGCTTTAGGGTTGTAATGTCTCCACCATTATCAACTAAGATAGTTGCCGAGGTTCTTCTAAGGCAATGCCCCGTATATTCATGTGGATTTGGCAACCTTAAAAATGATGCAACATCTTTTGGCACTTTTGAAATTTTATGTATGCCCATTACAACACGATGACAATGGCCATTTTGATATTTAATAAAAAATCTATCAAAAGTTATGTCTTTTGGCCGAAGAGTAGCATATTTTCTGTATAAATTTAAATAAAACTCTCCAATTATGGTAAATGAACGATGTTTTTTAGTTTTTGTATTGGGAATATTTACTAATATTATATTTCCCAAATCTTTTACATCATTAACTTTTACTTGAATGAGTTCATCGCATCTACAAGCTCCTGTGACTCCAAATATTAGTGCAACCTAAAAAATATAGAATTATTAATTTTGTAACAATAAAAAAAGTTGGAAAATGCAAGGAAATTCTAAAACATGACGTAATTTTAAGACATCTATATTTATGAGTTTTTACAACATTCTTCCAATGAGCTATCTTTATTTCCGAAAATTGTTTATTATTCTCGTAATGGATACTATAAAATAACTTGAAGTTTACAAATTATAACAAAATTTTGTATTACAAATATAAAAAGGTTAAATATATATCTACCTATAATTTAAAAAGTACATACCTTGGTTGCTAAATATTTATCATCAGGTGCTTTATTCAGGAATTCGTCAAATTCTTTTTTAGACAAAACTTTCGACTTTTTTGGTTTATAATTTTCACCTTGTCGTTTCAAAAATGTAATTAATTTTGAATATTTCTCAATATTTACATTGTGTTCTATGTTTAATTTAGATTTTACCATTGAATATTGCGCCCATAAAGTTGAACTTTTCAGTGTTCTGGATAATCTTGTAAAATATGCTATCATCACATTTTCTGAATAAATATGTGCATTATTTTCTTTTGCCCAATTTATGAATTTATCATAAGCATTTTCATAAATTTTTCTCGACTTTGTTGGTATAAGTGTTGCCACTGATGTATTTGCAATTTCCAGTAATTCTGGTGGTGTGCACTGCATTTCTTCAGACATTTTAAAAACGACCCGACGCGACATCAAATTTCAACTGACACTTAATGAAACGTCAAAGCTTCTTGAATCTTTAATTCGTTGCTAGGATACTTACCTACACATTGTTACATTTTTTTACTAGTTAAAAAATGAAAAATATTTGTACTAGTTAAACAATAGGCTGCTTCTAAAGGAGGTGTTGCACTATATAATATAAGTATTATCATACGCTTGAAGAAAAAATATTTTTTTCATAAAATGAGGTTTCCAGAGATTTGTCGTAAGATGCCACTTAATTATAGATTTGAAGTGAAAAATAATACATATATTGTGAAATAAGTGCGGATCCGCTCAAGTGGACAATAGACAACCGCACGAATTGCACATACTATTTTTTATTACGAATGCGGTGAAATCTTAGGGTCTAGGGGCGCAGCCACGGTTGGGTCCATAGATTTTTATACAGTTTAGGTTGACATAAATAACTATCAACTGTCATTTAAATGTCACTTTTTAAAAAAAATTATATTTTTATTACTAATGAAGGATAAGTCCCATCTTTTCGCATGTTTTTTAGGTCGATAACTGGCTGTTTGCCAACTCTATTTATTTGCGTGCGGTAATCTTACTTGTCGCACGCGAATTGCCAATAAAACACGCAAAATTTAAATACCTCCTACACACACGAATATATTATTTTTAAAAAGTGACATTTAAAGTTATTTATATCAATTTAACTGAATAAAAATATGTGGACCCCACCGGAGCTTCGCTCCTGGACTCTAAGTTTTCATTACATCCGTAATAAAAAATAGTATATGCAATTCGTGCGGTTGTCTATTGCCCACTTGAGCTCTCGTGGGCAATTACACTTATTGCACAATATAATATTTGCCTATTCTATTTATTTGCCTGCGGTAATCACACTTGTCGCCCGCGAATTGACAATAAAACACGCAAAATTTAAATACACACTCGAAATAGTATATTTGTAACAAGTGAGGTAAGTTGTTTATTGCCTACGAAAGCGGAATTGAGGGCACGAACGCACTTATCCGTCATGAGTAATAAAAAGTTATTTATATATCCAGCACAATGAAATTCGTCAAAAAAGGCTTGAGGGCGAAAGTATATGTATTACAATATTTTTTCTACAATCAGTCATACAGTGTGTCCAATTAAGTCGGCACCATATGGGATACTTTATGCATACGTTGCGATAGTTGCCAACGACTAAGACGATTAAGAGATAAATGTGACAGATCTGGATTTGGTAAAGCAGTTAAAGGCTTTAGTGTTAAAAAATGGCCCGGTGTTAGGACAGAAAGGTCATTCGGATCTGAGCTTAAAGGGCACAAAGGCCTAGAGTTTAAAATAGCTTCTATCTGAGTTAGAACAGTGTAAAATTCTTCGTATGTTAATATTTGTTCTCCTACGACTCTAATTAAATGAGACTTTACACTTTTAATGTTTGCTTCCCAAATACCTCCAAAGTGAGGCGCAGAGGGTGGATTAAAAGACCATTGAATTTGTTCTTGTTCTGCGGCACATTGCAATGTATTTTGAGAGTTCTTTTTGAGAACCAACGAAATTACTACCGCAATCCGAGTATATTTGTGTGCAACGACCTCGACGGGCAATGAATCGTCGTAAAGCAGCAAGAAAACATTCTGTAGATAAGTCTGAAACAAGCTCTAGATGAACTACCTTGGTTGCAAAGCACACAAACAAGCACAAGTACGCCTTTTGCGATTTTACTCCGCGAGACTTACCTAATGTAATGAAAAATAATCAACTCCCACGCATTGAAAAGGTTTAATTTGGTTTACACGTGTTGGAGGTAGGTCGCCCATAATGGGTTGAAGAGAACGTGGATTTGTTCGAAAACACCGCACACATTTGGAAAGGCAATGACGAATGGCACGTCTGGCAGACAAAATCCAAACTTGCTGGGAAAGAAGAAACTGTAGTGTTTGAGGACCAGGATGTAGATGAATTTTATGTACTTCTTCAATTAAAAGTTCTGATAAACGATGAACTCGAGGAAGAAGTGCAGGATGCTTTTGATCATAAGACAATGAAGAATGAGCCAGTCGACCACCTACTCTGATAATAACATTTGTGTCAATAAACACTTTAAGTTTTCGAAGTGGTTTACTGAGATGGTGTCCCTTTTCAAATTTGGCAATATCGTCGGCAAACGATACATGTTGAACACGCTTTATCAAAAGAAGAAATGCATTATACATCTCATGTATAGTGAGAGGACCAAATAAATTGGAATCAGAAAATCGAACATTATTTATAAAACGAAGGCAATAGGCAATGATGCGTTTAATTCTTGCGAGAGATGATTATTTTCTAGAAGTAAGTCCAAGGCATCAAGAGAAACGAAAGAAGAAAGAACAACCCTTTTTTCTTCTTCCAAGGAAGCTGTATTATTTTCATAAGATGAAACTGGTCAACTGTTTTTTGGTGACCTTAGCCATGAAGGCCCCGCCCACCATTGAACATTGTTAATAAGATCTCCTGGAAAAAGTCCTCGTGAAGCGATATCACCTGGATTATCTGTAGAACTAACGTGATACCAACAATTTGGAGAAACTTTCAATTGATTACGACTTACTCGGTAGGCAACAAAGGTTTTCCATCAATGTGGAGAAGACCTTATCTAGGAAAACACAATAGTAAAATCAGACCAGGCATCAATATATTGAAAACGTAATTTTCCTGAATAAATATTAAGAATAAATGAAATCATATCAGCGAGCAACATTGCTGCGCAAAGCTCTAAGCGCGGAATTGAAAGTTTTTTCAAAGGAGCTACTTTGGACTTGGCATAAACAAAGGAAACGTGAGGAATTTCATAAGGGCTAGAAAATAAGAAGTATATGACAGCTGCATAGCCCTTTTCCGAACTATCAGCGAATCCATGTAATTCCCATTTTTGAAAATATTTTGGAACTATGCATCTAGGAATTTTGAGAGTTGATAAAGAAGCTAATTGAGCTTGATATTTTTGCCAACTATTGACAACATCGTTTGGAGGGGTCTCATCCCAAACGAAACCTAAAC